TCTCTCTCTCTCTTTCTCTCTCTCTCTTCCTCTCCCTCTTCTTATTCCTCTTCCTCTCGCTCCCCCCATCTCTCTTTTTTCTCCTCCCACCCTCCTTCCTTCCTTCTACTCTCACTAAAAAAAAAAAAAAAAAAAAAAAAAAAAAAAAAAAAAAAAAAAAAAATCAATGGAAAAAATACCCTCAGGAGAGAATTAAAAAAAAAAAAAAGTAGACCAGTAATTCTTGGCATTAGTTCAAAGCTTTTCCAAGGGCCACAGGTCCTTTACTATTTTTACAATATAGCAAGACCTATTAAGATAGAACGACAATACAAACAATTTTCCTCTTTTGAGGACTTTCATTAAATCCTGTTCTATGCCCCCACTTGAAGGTTTCCTGCTCAGCAGGTTTCGTGGCATCAATAGGCCTTTATAATAAATTGCCAAGTGGTCCTCATAACGTACAGCAAACTATGAACTTCAGCTTTGTTTTTGCGAAATAAAGGTCGACTCTTTGTAGTTATATAAATGGAGAACTACTTGTTATTCTGGTGTTAACTCTGATATGGAAAGAGGAGACTGTTCGTTTGAGGAAGGGAAATGAGATCCAATCTGAGAGTTGTAACTCCATTTCTGTGCCATTCATTGATTAATATACTATCAGAGCTGGGAATACCCTAACATTTTTACAAATAAAACTACAGTTTGTCTTGTTTGGGCCTAAGATAGGCTTTGTCAAAAGCACCCTCGTTCAAAGATGGTGACCTTTCTGTAACTATGGTTTATCATGAATTGTTGACGAGGAGCAAGATACCATGTTGTTGATCTTAAACAAAAGTAAGTTTCCATGACAAACTTTCATATTCCTTGCTGTGGGTACAGGTGTATGTGTTTGTATCAATATCTTGTGCACCTTGCTGGCATGGAGGCACATTAGCAAGAAAAATGTAAACCATGTTAGTCTTCATCACATTTTGGAGCCTTGATTATTGAAGTTCAACTTTAAAAAAAAAAAAAGAGCAAACTTGCCCTGGCTGGTGTGGGTTCCGTTGGTTAGTGTTATCCTGTACACCAAAAAGTCGCAGGTTTGATTCCTGTTCAGGGCACATACCTAGGTTGCTGGTTTCATTCCTAGTTGGGGCATGTGCAGGAGGCAAGCCTTTCTCGATCTCAATCTCTCTCTTCCCATCCTTTTTCCTCCCTCTCTAAAAATCTTAAAAACTCACTGTAAAGGGCTTTTTTTTACCCCAATGGGAAGTTTTAAGGGGTAGAGAAAGAGAACTATCTTTAATCTGGCTGACCTTGCTGAAAGTATTAAAATTAAGTTTTTAGAATAATGAATAAAGTCCTCAAATTATTTATAGATGTGAATTTATTTTTATTCTCCCCTAAATGATTTCTAAGTCTATATTAGGAAGCTTTTTATGAAAAACTCGAGGTGAAATGGCATGATGTCTGCAACTTCTAAACGGTTCAGCAAAAATGAACATGTTCATACACACGCAGGGAGAAGACTGGCAGAGAGGAGGAAAAGGAAGGAGAACCATGTCTTCAGTGTGGCAATACATTAGCAATTACTAAAATAGGAGGCTGGATGTGTGGGATTTCACTGTACTAGTCCCTTAACTTGTCCTTCTCTGAAAATTTTAATAATAATAATAATAATAATGCTAGGATATTTGATCCAGAAATGCAGGTAGGATCCTGTTAGGTTTCCCTATTTTTCTTTTTTTAAATAATATATTTTATTGACTTTTTACAGAGAGGAAGCGAGAGGGATAGAGAGTTAGAAACATCGATGAGCTAGCTGCCTCTTGCACCACCTCCACTGGGGATGTGCCCGCAACCAACGTACATGCCCTTGATCAGAATCGAACTCGGAACCTTTCAGTCTGCAGGCCGACGCTCTATCCACGGAGCCACACTGGTCTCAGCAGGTTTCCCTTCTTGCTCCAAGATGGCAATCCAGAGTTTTGTTCCAGCCAATGATACCACTCACTTCACTCCTGCCGATACCAGAACCGCTCCTCTTGCACAAGCATGTCAAACTCAAAGGCTAACAACAGGCCCAATAAACAAAGCATGTGCCCCGTAGGCCGCGAGTTTGACATGCTTGCTGTAGCATGTGAAAGAAATTGGTTTGTACTTGGAAACACAGAAATTCAGGAAAGTGTCAATTGAACCATTTCTGTTTTTCAGTAAAGATTACAGAAACAACAACTGAAGAAGCAGAAATAGCATAGGATATGAGACTAGTTAGAAAAAAAGTCATGTAGGAAAACATGCATTCACTAAACTGGATTTCCCCCCTCTTCTTTCCCCTCAACTTTTTAAATGGCTTTTAAAACTATAAGAGGAGTTAAGCGCAAACATAAAACATAAGTTTGTTTCAGCTCAATACCAATGGTTTCTTTTGTCTCAATTTCCCCCCTCTTCTCATAAATTAGCATATACTACTATTCTGTACTCTAAATTTCTTAAAATGTAGCTGCTTATTGCTTCATTTATAATAATTTAGACTACTTAAAATATATTTGTACATTGGTAATTTTTAATAACTGTTATTCTCAATCTAAAAAGGTATTTTATGAATTGGCCAAATGTTCCTTAATCTACACTTCTTAGTAAATTAGATTAAATCTTTCAAAAACTCCCCAAATAAATAATGGCTGTTTACATTGTTCTCAAATTCTCTAGTTCATATTCCCTCACCCTTACCTTAGGTCAGAAAAAGGAAAATCAAGTGGATTAAATTTTTCTAACTACTTTCCATAAGTAACAAAAGCAGCAGAAAACCCCAGGCCATGTTTAGAGAGTTGAGTTTTTACCATGGCAATGGTTACTATATAATCTCTGGTACTATCAAGTGACTTGACAAAAAAAAAAAAAAAAAAAAAAACTAAGTTAAATGGTCATGAGTATTTGCAGAATGACTGGTCAGCTTACCGTGTTGACTTTCATCACCTGATTCCACTACACACTCAAGAGGTTCAGATTGTCCCTGAAGTGGGTCTAACAGTTTCTTCTTGGATTAGTGTTGGCCACTGGAGAAGGCCAGACCCTTAAAAATTTTTTAAATTACAATTGACATTTAATATATTAGTTTCAGGCATACAACATAGTGGTTAGACATTTATCTAACTTATAAAGTGATTCTCCTGATAGGTCTTACACCCACCCATCTGACACCATATAAAGTTATTGCAATACTATTGACTATATTCTCTAAGCTGTACTTTATAACTCTATGATTATTTTGTAACTTCTAATTTACACTTCTTAATCCCTTCACCTTTTTCACTCATCCCCTCAAAATGCCTCCATAGGTTTGTTCTCCGTATCTATCGGTATGTTTCTGTTTTGCTTATTGGTTTCATTCCGTAGGTTCCAAATATAATTGAAATCAAGTGGTGATTGCCTTTCTCTTTCTGATTTATTTCACTTTGCATAATTCTCTCTTGGTCCATCCATGTTATCACAAATGGTAATATTGCATTCTTTTTATAGCCAAGTAATATTCCATTGTAAGTATGTACCACATCATCTTTCCATCATTCTTTTTTTGATTGGAGCATTTAATTCATTTACATTTAAATAGTTATTGATAGGTATGTAGTTATTGCCATTTTATTAATTGTTTTCTGATGTTGTTATAGTTCTCAGTTCTTTTCTCATTCTCTTGTTCTTTTATATGTTGATGACTTTCTATAATGTGTTTAGATTCCTTTCTCTTTATTTCTTGTATATCTCTTGTAATTTTTGGTTGTGGTTACTATATGCTTCATATATACCAAATTGTGTTTATAGCGGTCTATTTTAAGTTGATGGTTGCTTAATAGAGAACAGAACTTTAATTCATCACTTAGATTTCCGATAGCCTCTTAAAAAGTAGTCTATCTTTTATGTAATCTAAACTTTATTTCTCTAAAAAGACTCACTATATTTTCTTTCAAGTTTAGGTAGCATCTTCTCCCAATTAAATCAGCCACCATAAAAATAAATTATTTAGAAATTGCAAAAGAACAGCTAGAAGTCTAATGATTTTTTTTTTTTATTAGACCTTTCCTAAATTTACAAGGGAAGGGAAAGTAAAGTATGTTACAGCTTCATAGCAGGCTATGGTCCTAACTTGCCTCTTTGTCCTTTAAAAAAAAAAAATGCAGTGACATAAGAGACCGTTGTGCCGTCTTTGGGTTTTCCAGCTTTTGGAGTCACTATGTGTGCTCATCACCAGAGCAATGAAAACAAGTCTTCTTTTCCCCAAGACACAAGTAGCTTCAGTTCAAGCCCCTCCAGACTTCCTTACCAGTGACCTCCACACTGACCTTGAATTATTCTAGGAAGAACTCTGCCTGTTTAGCCCCTTTCACTCATCTTTATGTGAATTCCTGTTCACTAGCAGTGAACTGAGACCACCTAATTAAGAAAACCTTATTCATGATTCATTTAATTTCCAGTGTGCTGACTTTTCATTACTTCAGTATCTTTTGTCCTTATAGTAGCCTCTTTGGCATCTTGTCTGCCTGGTCTACGGAAGCAATTTACCCAAGCAGTGAGAGAGCCAGATGACTGACCAAGGGCGTGCTTACTTTCTGAGATCAGGAATCCACTCCTTTGGGGGAGGCTTAAAAGTAGAGGGTCTACATGCTTCGCTTCTCAGTCCTCTGGATCGAATTCCAGAAGAGAAGCTTCAATAGCAACCACTCTTCCTCCCAACGTGTGTGACAGCTGGAGGTGTTTTTCAGGCCAGCACCAGACTGCATTGCTGTGGGTTGAGCTTTGGCATGTCTTCTGAAATGCTTCACTCAACTGGCCTGTGCACGCCTACGTGTCTTCCGTTCACCAGAAATGTTATGCCGTGCGGCTGTTGTCACGTGCTCTTAGGGCCTGCTTCCAAGAGCTTGACTCTCCCCCGACAGGTTCCCTTCTGGACCACAGAAACCTCCTGAGGGCAGAAATGTCTTGACATTTCGGTAGCCCTTCCTGTGCCTTATGTATAAAGACTTTCAGTTATGTCAACGATGATGATCATCATTGCTGAAGCCTCGAGCTCTGAAGAAATAGAGGCCCACTGGTATCCCTCGCTGGTGATGAGGACCAAGTTAAGCTTGGTAGACACCATGATTAACCATGGTCAGAGCTCCAGGAGTAGACACTACTGAGACATGAAGATGAGTAAGACAGCGCTGCCCTCAGACATTTGGTTTGATGTAGGCTATGCAAATCCTGGAATGGATAGTGGAGGGGAGGGGAGTACTCAGACATGCTCTTAGTGGTTGAGTATGGAGGCAGCCAGCCTTAGGCTCCAAACTGGAATGTCTTGTGCGTGCGTGCGTGCGTGCGTGCGTGCGTGCGTGCGTGTGTGTGTATAGGGGGTAAAGGGGGCAGGAACAGGAGGCTGCACTTACCATCTTACCATGGCATTTCGGCCTATGCAAATGGTCCTATCCATGTTGTCAAACAATCTCACATAAACCAAATCTTAAATACAGTATAATACAATATTATTTCTTTGTAGGCTTTGGATCTTAATTTGTCCTTCTTTTTCTTGCCAGCAATCTAACAGAATGTTTGATTCCTTTTTACCTAGTAGCACTAGCTAGTTGTACAAAGAGGCAGAATTTGTCTATGGCTTCTAAGTCATCAGAGGAGAATCACTGGTCAGAAGATTTAGCAGTTTAATATCTGACCTTGGTTTCCCCTGGGTGCTCCCATTTTTGAGAAGGAAAAGAAATGACTCACCAGTCACCTAGCTGCTCACCTGTGTGGGCTATACCTGGGCACTCAGGGAGCGAGTGCATGGTCAGGTCACCTGGGGAGCCTTGGAATCTGCAAATTGGCTTTCTGGAATTTGAGAACAATTCCTGTAAAGTCTCTTATTGCTGTTTTGATCATTGTAGCCTGTGGAAATCAGCTTATTCTGACAGGGAAGATGCTCCATGAAAAAAAAAAAGTCTTTGTTTGTTATCACAAGAATCTTAAAGTAGAATAACATGTGACTTCTGTTAAAAATCTGGATGTTAATAAAAATGGGGGGAGGAGGGTGACTCATAATCTCCATGACTCCCCCTGTGCCCCCTATGACCCTGCTCCTGCTCCAGCCTTCGGAATTAGCCCCTCTGATTTCTTTACGGTGCCTCTACCCAGTCTGTTACACAGGACAAAGGTCTTGGAACCATCAGGTGATTCTGTAGACCCTGAACAGTGAGCACAAGGATCACAAGGGGCCCCCTTTTTTATGAGGTTCCTGTGCAGTGGGGCTGGTGAAGTAGAATTCCTTCCTCTGCTCCCCTCCCCTCCACAAGGTTTAACCTGATTATGCCCAGCAGGCAAGCAGGCGCCCTTGCAAATTAGTCTTCTTACTGAGATAAACTGTAAAGACCACATGCTCATCCAGGCAAGAATGCAAATCTAAAAAATAGCTTCAAATCTTTGAGAATGGGGGATGGGGGACAGGAGGCAGTGAAAATAGGGGAATTTTCTCAGCTTCTCCTTATTTATACTCCTCTTAAATTACAAATGTGAAGTGACTTTGTGACCCCAAACTTGCTTAGAGTAAACAGGAATCCACAGTGAGAGGTATTTAATTTCCCTGGGAAGAGAGGTTGACTTTTTTTTTTTTTAAGCCATATAAGATATAATTCCATTGTACACACAAAAAACAATAATAATAATCCAGTGTACATTAGAGTTCTGAGGTTAACTGTGTGGGCCTGCTTCCACTCCTTCCCGGTATAAAATAGACACCCAGAGGGAACTGCCCACCAGTCACCTCACAGGAAGCACCAGGACACAAGGTGAGACTCAGCAATTCCGAAGTTCCTTAACCTGTGCCTCCCACAAGTAGGTGTGCGAGGGAGCCAGCCAGGGTTTTACTTAAGCAAACCAGCAACTTTTCAAGGAAAATTTGAAGTAGACATTTGCTCTTTTCTTTAGCTTAGTCCTGAGAAATCCTCGCCAATAGGAAGACACTATGTATGGCTTCATCTTAATCTCTTTTAGGACCTGATACACCATTTATCACACAAAGATGATCATAGGCACAAAAATGCGAGGTAAAAGGAAATTAGATATGCCAAGGGGAAAGTTTTCCATCCATTTTAAACTGCAAATGTTCATTTTAATTTTTGCCACAAATTGGGCTTGGGAAATATTAAGATGCTATTTTTTATGGACTCATTTTATTATTTGCTGTCATATCCAAAGTACTTACCATCTTACTAAAAATAGCTTAATGCAAAGGGGTTGTTCATAACTAAACTAAGTGCAAACTCAATTTCCTATGGGAAGTACAAAGGGCTTTACAAATTGCTAAGTCACCAACATGCCCTTTTACCTCTCTCTATGTGTCCTATAAAGTCTTGCACAGGACTTGTACATAGTATTTCCCCAGGGAAACACACACACACACACACACACACACACACACACACACACACACTACACCACATACCAATATTGTTGATTCACTGGGTTTCTGTTTGCAGACTGCCTATATTACATGTATTAAGATTTCAAATAATTGTTTGCTTTTCTAACTTAGAAGGGTAAACAATTTGACAACAGTTAAAACCAGTAACAAAAGAAGTTGGCATCAGACATACTCTTTAACTTAATTCCTTTTATTGAAACTCATACACTTTTATATTAAATTTTCAAGCTATTTTTCTCCTCAAAATTTGAATAATAGTCAGACCCTACATTGATAATGAACACCAGTCAGTTTTCCAAGGGCTATACCAATTGTAAACTTCAAAAAGGCCTAACTGGGAAGGCTTTCTTGGTGAAAAGTCAGTGATATATGGGACATGGGATTGAACTGTGTGGGTTCACTTAACATGCAGGTCCTCCCCCGCCCTCCTCCCCCCTACCCAGTAAATTCTACAAATGTATTTTCTCTTCCCTATGATTTTCATAATAACATTTTATTGGTAAGGCGTCTGGTCAACAGTAGGCTGTGTGGGAATCAGCACTCCTAACCCCTGCATTGTTCAAGGGTCAACTATTTCTCATTCCTTGATCTCCTCTTCTATCTCTACCTTCAGCGCACACGCGAGTGTGCACACACACACACACACACACACTTTAAAAGAGAGAAAATGGGCAATTTGCTCTATGGAAAACAGGCAGGAACAGGGGCCATAAGACATCTACTTAACTCATTCCTGTATGTTGAGTAAGGGTTGTCTGTAATCCCTCCTACCCTCAAAACAAATCAGAAGCTATTATTGACGAAGCACCTGTATGTACATCTGGCAAGGACAATGCATTGACACCACCATGGATATTAGCATCACGCATGGAAAGCATTTTCTATTTAAAACTTTCAGAAATCACTACTTAGCATCCAAAGGTTTCTACCTCTAAATGATCACAGCCTAGTCTTTTTGTTTTGTTTTGTTACTATATTTAAAGGCAACTTACTATTTAAATTTCTTAGCCTGCAAAAATAAGACATCATTTTATCAGTTCCAAGTTGTTTGGAAAATTATGTAATATAGTGTCTGAACTTCTCCCATGAGATATTTGATGCAAATTTGCATTCGTTGTGCCCAGCCAGCGTGGCTCAGTGGTTGAGTGTCGACCTATGAACCGGGATTTGATTCCCAGTTACAGGCTCAATCCCCAGTGTGGGGCATTCAGGAGGCAGCCAATCAATGATTCTCTCATCATCAATGTTTCTATCTCTCTCCCTCTCCTTCCTCTCTGAAATCAATAAAAATATATTTTAAAGTAAATAAAAATTATAGTATTGGAATGAATATAACTATGTTTTAAATTTTGCATTCATTGTGACAGTAATGATTCTACTGACTATTCTACAGTTTCCACTTTTTGAAGGAAATAAGGTCTAGCAATTCCTCTTAGAAATGATTGTTTCTAGAAGGTCTGGTGAGTCTTTGCAAGTCTGTTTAACTATAGAGTTGGTAGTTTGTTTTGTTTTTTGGTGTTTCCAATTTTAAGAGCCAAGATATAGCCTATAATCTAAATCTGAACAACTGGTCTCATCAGATACATATATTTAATAAGAATAAAGATTAAAGATGAAGCAAATCTCAGTCCAACTGAGAGAGGTAGAGAGAGATTTAAAGACCAGTTTGATGCCTCAATCCTGTGCCAGAGGGACTCGTTTTGGTGTGTCCACTGTGGTTCCCGAGCGGGCCCATGCAGCCAGCTCATGAATTAGACTTACTCCTAAGCAAATAAGCCCATTTCAACACGATAAGCCTGTTATTCTTTGGATGGATCCTCAAATTTACTCATTTTTGTTTGAGGCTTTGTTTAGTGGCTCCTAATGACAGACTCAAAATATTTGATGTAGGAAACAGAGAGCTTCTCAGGACTGAGGAGATGAAGCTAGAAGAAAGAAAGGGAGCCATCTGTAACAGACAGCCTGGGAGGGGAAGAGCAGGCTGCAGGCAGAATTCTTCTACTGGGCTTGGGGCTGGCACCTGCTTAGGCCTGTTGCCTAGGCCACATGAAGCTACTCACACGTGTTTGGCTGGCTTAGAAAAGGGCAAGCTGGCCACACTGACCGCTGCTCAAGAGCCCTGCAGCAGCAGCAGCAGCCATCTAAAAAGCCACAGATTCCAAGGGCCGGGCTGACTTTCGGCACGTTTGACCTCAGAAGTCTTTCTAGCCGAAACTGGTTTGGCTCAGTGGTAGAGCGTCGGTCTGCGGACTGAGAGGTCCCAGGTTTGATTCTGGTCCAGGGCATGTACATTGGTTGCGGGCATGTCCCCGGCGGGGAGTGTGTAGGAGGCAGCTGGTCGATGTTTCTCTCTCATCGATGTTTCTAGCTCTCTATCTCTCTCCCTTCCTCTCTGTAAAATATCAATAAAATATATTTTTTTAAAAAGAAGAAGAAGAAGAAGAAGAAGAAGAAGAAGGAGGAGGAGGAGGAGGAGGAGGAGGAGGAGGAGGAGGAGGAGGAGGAGGAGGAGAAGTCTTTCGACCCTTCCTCCCAGACAGAGTGGCTAGCACATTTCTGGGGAGCAGAGCAACAGCTGATCTGAACTCCCAAGCATGAACTTGGGTGGATTAAGGGCGTGGTTAACAATCCCCGCATTAATAGACAAAGAGCAAGTTGCTCTCTAGATTTGTAGCCTTAGATCAATCCATCGAGACACTAAGTCTGTGTGAGGGTTGTGCTCTGCTCTACTCTGCCAAGTACTTCTTGGCCACCTAATCGGCCACAGCATAGAAAATAAGAGTCAAAAATAAGCATGACATAGCCCTAGCTGGTATGGTTCAGTGGATAGAGCACTCACCTGCCGATTGAAGGGTCCCGGGTTCAATTCCAGTCAAGGCACATGCTCAGGTTGCAGGCTCAATCCCCAGTATGTGGTGTACAAGAGGCAGCCAATCAATGACTTTTTTTTCATCATTGATGTTCCTATCTCCCTCTCCCTTTCCCTTCCTCTCTGAAATCAATATATATATATACTAGAAGCCTGGGGCCTGGTACATGAAATTTGTGCACTGCGGGGGGGGGGGGGGGGGGGGCGGAGAAATGTCCCTCAGCCCGGCCTGTGCCCTCTAGCAGTCTGGGAGCCCTCAGGGGATGTCTGACTGGAGGCTTAGGACATCCTTAGCGCTGCTGTGTCTTGTGCCACTGCTGCTGCTACACTCACTAACCATGTGCCCAGCTCAGGGTGCACTGACCACCAGGGGGCAGCTCCTGCATTGAGGGTCTGCGCCCTGGTGATCAGTGCATGTCACAGTGATCAGTCGTTCTGCTGCTTGGTTGATTTGCATATTAACCTTTTATTATATAGGATAATTGGTGCACAACTTACTTATTACTCTACTAGAGGCCCAATGCACAAAATTCATGCAAGGGGCTTGGCCTTTGCAGCTGTGGCAGTTTGCCTTGGCCCCCGCAGCCCCGGCTTCATCTGGAAGGTCACCTAATAGGACGGGCAGAAGGTTGTTCGGCTGTCCAGTCTAATTGGCATATTAGGCTTTTATTATTATAGATTCTTTTTTTAAATGACACATTCAGGGTTGGTAGACATGCTGTTTGGGTGAAATGGAGATAAAGGTAGGATGCTGCCTGAGTGTCTGACTGAAGAATGCCTCTTTCTCCTGAGGGCACACATGTGAGCCTATAAAAGGTTTTGAACAAGTAGGTAATGGAATGAAAACACTGATCTGACAGCAGAGTCAGGGAGAACAGGAGAAAGAAAGCTGAAGTAATGGATGTAGGAGTAGTGGCTGCAGCTCAATTTCCCTAAGCTAAAAAACAGACTTGTGGGGATTCTAGGATTGTTGTGAGAAACAAAGGTGATGCCTGAACAAGGGCCAAAAGCAAGTAAATATCAGTTTCCCCTTTTTCTAATGGGGCTGGTATGGTGGCAGAGGCCATAAAGTATAAATGTAGGAGGTATTACTTGAGAAAGAGCACAACTTTGGCAAATATCAGGAATTTAGAAGAGAAAAAGAACCAGCGGAAAGCTAGGTTTTTTAATTTCAAAAATCAGGCAGGAAGAGTTCTAGTTTTGAGAGAAAAATGAGTTGGTTTTTGACTCTGAATTTGGGTTTGAGATATTAATATTATAGGGACAACAGATCCAAGAGTCCCTGCCATAGAGGCGAAATCAGAAGTGGACTTGCCTCGGGGCTCAAGTTTTCATGCCCCTCACTTTCCCTGGTCACATATCTAATCTAGTGTTGAATTGGTAAGCTTTTTTTTTTTTTTAATTTGTTTTCCTTTAAAAAGTCCCCTCAAGAGTTACACAAGCTTCAGGCCCCACAAAACCTGGACCCAGCCAGGTTGAAGTCAGAAGCAATGCCATGGGGTAATGGGAGAGAAAGGGTTGGAAGGATCCAGTTACTGTCCTCAAAGGATGAGACGGGTCAGCAGAGGAGGCCAGAGAGGCAGAGATGAGGCCCGCAGGCCAGGGGGCTGCAGAGAGATCAAAGGAACGCTGGCTGAGGATGGGTCAGTGGACTTGACCTCTTTAAAAAGTGACTGATTTTAGCACACACTCAGTGTGGGGTTGGGGAGGAGGGAGGCTCAAGTTGGAGAGGGGCTTGAGGAGTGGGTGCCTCATCTGAGGAGGCTGACATGAAAGACTTTTTGACTTTTTCTTACAGATTAATATTAACCCCCTGAGCATGGAGCTGTCTTTCTGTTTTATTACATTTCCTACTCCTGGAGATTTTCTGTGGTCTTAGTTGGGTCAATTTCTCTTCAAGGTTAGTGTAAGCCTGGTTAACAGCTAAGAAAGGGGCTGTTGGCTGGAATGGATTTTGTTTTGGGGATGTTTTGTGTGTGTGTTTTTTTTGTGTGTGTGTGTTTTTTTTTTTCTACCCTAATAGATTCTCCTTTCTATCCACACGTAGGCCATCTATTCTGTCCTGGAGTTCAGGGGCACAGAACCAGGGTGGAGATGTGAGGCCATCGGCTGCTGAAAAAGCGTTATCTGGGCTCACCTAGGCAAAGGTAGCGATGACTTCATCCTCACCCTCACGGAGGGCGCCACCCCAGCCCTGCAGCTCACTTCCCATCAGCCTGTCGGCGGCCCGGATGGGTTTTCTTGGACTTCTCCTTTCCCATTGCCGGGCATCACCAGTCACTTGGAAAAATAGGCGATTAAACTGTTCTCCCGTTTCCTCCCGTGCGGAGCCTTTCCCAGACACAGTCTGTTCATATAACGACAAGGTTCCTGTGACAGTCACCCGTGAGAATTAAAAAAAAAAAAAAAGTAAACTTACAGGTTGGCAGGCCCGAGCCCAGAGAGGAGCTGACCTTTGGAAGCTCCTTCGCGGGCTGGGACCCTCCCCCGGAGCATTTTCTAGTGCTCCCGGGAGGAACACGTGTGGGCAGAGGATGGTGCACATTGGGGGGGGGGGGGGAGTGTGCGCGCGGGTGCAAAGGGGAGGGTGCCCGCGAGCCGCCGCAGCGCTCCTTTGTGGAAGGCTCCCGCCGGCCCAGAAGCCAGCAGGGCGCCTCTCCTCCGCCGGTTCCCCGCGGACACCTGGCCCTTCGGCACGGCCCGCACATCCCTGTCCCGCACATCCCCGTCCCCCGCCGCCGCCCTGCTTCCCCCGGAGCCCGTCCACCCGGCTCCGGGACAGCCTCCGGGGGCGGGAGCAGCCTGCTGGGCGGCGGCGCCCAGGCCCCCGGGGCCCCGCGCAGGTGGAGGTGCGCGCGGCGGCGGAGGGACGGCGGCGTGGGCAGGGGGAGGGGGAAGGGGGCAGGGGGAGGGGAGAGGAGGAGAAGGGAGGGGAAGGGGCCGAGCAGGAAGGGGCGTGCTGGCCTCGCGGCGGGCGGGCGCCGGGAGCAGCCTGGGCCGCAGCATTGTTACCTGCGGCGGCGGCAGCGGCGGAGGCTGCGCCCCGCCCCGCGTCGTCCTGCCTCCCCCTCGCGGCCCGGGGCTGCCGGGCGCACTGGCCCGAGGAGAGGCGGCGGCGCCAGGCGCTGGAGGGCGAGCCGGCCGCGGGTGAGTGTGAGCCGTCCGGCCGAGGTCCGGGCGGTCCCTGCTTCGGGGGTCACCGGGACCGGCCGCGACTCCCGGCTCGGAAGGGTCGGGGGGCGCGATCGGCCAGGACCCCAGGCTGGGGTGCTGGGTCTTGGCTGCCTCGGAGCCTCCCTAGGAAGGCTGGGACGTTTGGGCGCCCTCCGCACCCACCCGGGTGACTTTGGCGGCTGCACTGCCCTGGCCGCGGAGGACGGGGGTCGGGACCCCTGTCCGGAGAACGGGCTAGGTCACGGGCCACCGCCGTGTTGGGCCGGGTCGGCTGATTTAACTCTGAGACTCATGGATACACTGCGCCCCCGCTAGATGCCCGCCCCCCGCCCGCCCAGGGAGCGCGCATCTGGGGGCGCCGCGCTGGGCTCCTGGTCACGGGGACCCTGGCCTCGCCCCTCCTGACAGTGGGCGCGGGGCTGACGGGGACCGAGGACGAGGGGGCTCTCGCCCGCGCACACTTGCTCTGGCCGCGCCAAGTTGGGGTTGGAAGGTGCGTCCAGCGCTGGTGGAAGTCCGGGGAGGGGAGCTGGGGGGCTGGCGGGTCACCTCCAGCGGCTGCGGCGCCCCAGCCCGGGACCGCGGACTCCGGGTTCAATCCTCCCAGCGAACACCAGGAGTCTCCCTCCCCGCCTGCTCGCCGGCTCTCCCCGCGGCCTCGAGCTGAGCCGCAGTGCGGCGCGGAGGCTTCCCCCCTGCGCCCGGGACCCTGGCCGCGGACGTGGGGAGGGGGGGCCGCCGCGGGGGTGCGAGGAGACCCCAGTGCACCGGCCGGGAGACCTCCACTTTGGTTCAAGCAGACACCTCCTGCGGTGGCCCCCTGCCCCGCTGCTGGGAGCTTGGTACAGCGGAGGGGGTGGGCCGGGGAGGGTCGGCGGGGGCGGGCGACCCCCGTTCCCACCTAGACCCGCCCGCGGTAGGGACGCCGGGAGGGGCGAGGCGTGCGTGGCTGCTCCAGGGGGTTCTGCCCGAGATAAGACCCGCGCTCCCGGAGGCGGAGGCAGAGGGAGACCCGGCCCTCCCCGGGCGCCCGCAGGGTCCCCCCGGCTGTCCCCGCACCGCAGGCGGCGGCCCCGGGCAGCGCGCGCCCTCGCCCGTCCCCGCGACCCGCAGAGCCGCGCTGCGCGTGGAGGCGGCCGCCCGCGCCCCCGCCCCCGCCCCGCCCCGCCCCCCGGCCGCCGCGTCCAGATAAGGACACCGCCGGGGCTCGCGTGCCGCTCGCGGGGCCCTCCCACTCCCGGGGCTCCTGGGGATCCCGGCGGACGCGGCGGGTGGCCGTGCGGGCCGGGGGCTTGGGGCCCGCGGAGCCTTTGGTGCGGCGCAGCCCGGGCGTTTTGGTGAGTGGCGGGAGCGGGAGGGCGGGGGTTTTGGGGGCGGAAGGACGCGGTAGACCGCTCGCCCATGCAAAGACTTAGGAAACTACTCTGTATCCAGATTGTGGGGAGGAAAACAGGCCCCCGGGGTTCCCCGCGTGGAGTTTCTTCAGGACCTAATCAGTTTCCAGCAGCTGTTTGCGCAGACACTGCTGGGTCGTCTGGGACACCCTCTCTTCTCTCCCTCCAGTTGTCTGCCCCAATGACTAGCCCTCACTTCACTTCTCTCCATCCTTTGGCGCACGTTTGCCTTTTTTTTTTTTTTTTTTTTTTTTTTTAATATTTTTCTTTTTTCCCTTGGTTTGGGGGCATTCAGAGAAACTGCAAATGCAGATTCGAAACCAGGCGTTCTCTCCCCGCGCCCAGGGCGCTGCGCTCCCAGGCATCGGTGAGATGTTTATGTTGTGCTGCAGATTAAACAGGCTGGCTGGAAACGGGCTTCCAGGCCAGACCCGGTTGGACTGAGTGGCTGACATTCTGTGTTTAGTCAAGGTATTGGAAGACGGGCGTGGGGGAGGAGCCTTTTCCCCAGGAGTTCGTGGGGAGCAGAAATTCCATGTCTTTTAGAATTGACTGTGCTCTCCCAGGCCTGGCCTTTCTTTTCCCCCAGATAAAATAGGGCTGTGAGTTTCTGTGCCTCTCCTGGCCAAGCCTGGCATGTTCGGCCCCCCCATTTGTCATCAGAAGGGTATGGGCCAGCCCTTCCTGCTCCCACCTCGTCTGCGACACATGTCTGGAATCTGGCGGGAAGGCTTTCTGGTGTGGGCTTTCCTTGTGATGATGGTTGACCTGGGGGGTGAATGACCAATAGAGCAACAAGCCCCCCTAACCCCTCTCTCAGGAAAGCTCCGAGCTCTGAACCGACTTTCAGGAGCCTGTTTTCCCACGAAATATGCCGAAATGAAGCATACCTACCCTGTCTTCATCTCTCTCACCCACTCCCGTCAAGGGAATGGAGCTTTGGCACCAAGAGCAAAGGAATGCTAATGTTTGGACAGGAGAGGTTAGGAAGGGGCCAGAGGGCTCCTTTGGAGACCCCATGAACATCCTCGTTCTAAGACTTTTGGCTTGCTGATCAACCAAAGGCCAAGACCATGGTGACGGTGTCCCCTTATTAAAAATTCACATGGTAAAAAAAGATACAGCCTCCCCAGGAGCACCTATCACTCAGACACACCTGTGCTGGGTCATGACTAGCACTCCGGGGACTGAGAGGGCCATCTTCAGCCTGATCAGCCACCCTCGCTGCTGCTACAGTCTCCAGCCTGGAGATGAGATGTCAAATACAAGCCGTCCGTGTGCCCAGGGGAGATGGATGGATACTTGACATTTCCCAGACAGAGCTGAGGCCATTATTTCTATTGCCCCTACTTGGCCATTCACAGCCGTGATAAACAGCCAGCGTCTTTAGCTCACCTGTGTTCTCCTGGCGGACTTAGAGAGGGTATGTTTGCATCTTTACTGTAGGTAGCAGGACCTAGTGAGTTAAATGTTCTTTCTGTATCCTCCCGGTCTCATGTCTCCTGAGACTGTGGAAAGGGTTAGAATGTCTGTCTGCACTCCCTTTTCCCTTCCTCTGTCTGACATGTGAAATCTGGGCCAGGGAGGAAGCCCTATTGATGCCAGTTGTAAAAACCTTAGCATCTTGGCTAATCATTGCTGGACAACGTATTCATTAGAAGCCGTTGGGGGGCCTAAGATTCTTGTATGTTACCTTGGGGGAAAATTAGCCAGACAATGTACCAGGAACAATGTGGGTAAGTTTTCTTTTGTTCTTTTAGCTTTTTTCAGGCGGCATTAACTTTCTCAAGATGGGGCAGTGGTTAGAATCAGGCCAATGCATCGCTAACTTATGTATTACTTTGACAAGCTTTTATCCGGTACTTCCCCTGTGTAGCTCGTAATACTCGAAAAGACATCGGTTCTCTGGAGCTTTGGTATTGGAAGATAGTGCTGTTGCATAACTGCCGGTAGATAGTCTTTCTCACTCTTTATTAGTATCTTTACATTTGCTCTGTGAGATTTAATGGCACATCTGTGCATATATTTACTCAGCACTGGATGAGTTATTGCTTTCTAGGATAGAGACTTTTTTTAGCTTATCATCATTCTTAGCAGGGATAATCTATCAACAAGTCAGCAGATCTGGGATTGAAGGGTTAGCCATTCTTCTATACGTAATTAGTGAATTGGAGGATTAGAGCTCTTCTATACATGAGATATTTCATGTACAGAAGTATTTTAAAATATGTAAGGATAAACTGCCAAGATTACCTGTGCAGTCTTGAAAAAAGAAGAGTTCAAATATAACTATAAACTGTAATTGACAATGAGTCATTTGCTTTAGGGGTGCCAACTATGAAAACAGCCTGGTTATGCCCCTAATGATAATTATGAAAACTCCTTTTAAAAGCCAGTTGCCCCTCAAGGGAGCTGCAAGTTGGCTTGGATAAATATTTTCAGTTTTACTTTCTAAAATGTTATCCAGGGGTGATGACTACTCAACACTGTGGATGAACTTAATGTAAAAATGGTAAAAGTGGTTAAAAGGAATCATCCAGTTAATAGTTGTAAGTGCTATTTTCTAGCCATATGTAATTTCCAGAAACTAAACATTCAAACATTTCAGGAAAACTTCCATTCTTGGTAGAGATAATTTAATATACAATTACTGACTATTAAAAAAAAAAAAAGACAAATATCAGAAACCTAGTAACTAAGAAAGCAGAGAATGGACATATTAAAGGTTTCTAGCAGCCGGAGCATTTTATGTATGAACTCAATACATATTTTAAAGCAAATGTAATGCCTGGGGAAGTAAAGAGAAATCATATGTACGTGTGACACCAGTTGTTAATAATAGTTAATTATATACAGGTATCTTGGTAAGGACTGTACATGTATTAGTTCATATATTCTTATACAAGCCAGTAAAACAGTATATTCTTATATTGATATTATAGAAGAGGATGTTGAAATGTAGGATAAATAACCTGCCTCTCTCTAGTTTGCACATCTAAGGATCTGAGGAAAAGCAGCCTATTTCTGGAATCTCCACTCTTATTTCCAAGGCAAACTTGCTTTAAGAAAAATTTTTTTTTTAAGATTTTAAAATTGAATGGTGATAAGCTAGAGAGAAGGGAAGAAAGAGAGGAAGGGAGAGAGGAAGGGAGAGGGAGAGGGAAAGAGAAACATTGATGTGAGAGGGAGCTCATAACCCAGGCATGTGCTCTGACCAAGAATCAAACTGACAACCTTCAGCACATGGGATGATGCCCAACCAACGGAGCCACACAGGCCAGGCGGCAATCCTGCCTCTTGTATGTGGTTCTTTTTAAAAAATATATATATTTTATTGATTTTTTACAGAGAGGAAGGGAGAGGGATAGAGTGTTAGAAACATCAATGAGAGAGAAACATTGATCAGCTGCCTCCTGCACACTCCCCATTGGGGATGTGCCCGCAACCAAGGCACGTGCCCTTGACCGGAATCCAACCTGGGACCTTTCAGTCTGTAGGCCTATGCTCTATCCACTGAGCCAAACCGGTTTTGGCTTGCATGTGGTTCTGAGTAAAAAAAAATTAACAATATTTGAATTAGTCCAATCAGACAATTTACTCCTGCGTAGCCCAGCATGGTTTGACCAATGTGTAAGAGTGTGAGCTTTGACAGTGATGCTATTCAAGGACAATTACACTCAGAAGTTCAGTCTAAAAAGCCCCTCCATTTGGCCCTTTATGACCTGGAGGAAGCAGCCCCCTTTCATACACTCACTCTGAAGCCTGGGACCTCGGAGGTGAGAGGGTGGAATCTGACACCCCCCCTTCCCTCCTCTACCCACCCGTCAGGTGCTCACTCCGTATCCTGCATGGGCTCCCTTCTTCCACATTCCTTCTTACCTCTCTTACATCTGAAGAAAGGTAGTTGTTTTGACCCCTGTTTTCACATCAGGTCCATAACCCAACCCCAAAACAAACATGTGAAGATCGGTAAAAATACAAGGCACTAAATAAAATAAGGCATCCATGTGCGGCAGGTGTGACACGGCAGCATTTCCTTGTGTGTCTGTGTCTTTGCTGGTAGTGTCACGGAAGAAGCAGAGAGACAGGGGAGACGTTCTGGTGGCTTCCAGAGAGCGGCTTAACTGGAATCCACAGTGATAGCATCGGAAGCGATAGCAGGGGTCATGTAATGTATCCCAACCTCCTAATTTTACAGACGAGAAACTAAAGTCTAGTGAGGTGAAGTGACTTGTCTAAAAACGGTAAGCAACAAAGCTTGATTTAGAGCTGGACCCTTTAATCGGTGTGTCTAGTGTTTGCTGTATTTTCTGGGAAGCCATGTCACCCAGTGACATAGATGGAGCAGGAACGTGGTGGCCCTGACTCCAGCCATTATTTTTTCATCTGCACACACCTGCCTGTTATGTGCTTGGTAGGGGACCTAGCCACACCGAAGAAGGGCAGGTCACCAGTGCCTAACGCTTCTGTCATGTGCGTGATTTCCCTAGGGGTTGGGTATCCATTGTCCCAGACCCTGGGCCAGGTCATGAACAAGTAGTTTATTCATAAAGTGAGCAATGCTTGCCGAACCTATAGTGGGTCCTCGGCAAATGTGTTTAACTGATGAACAGAAGTTTTCCAAGTTGGATTTATTGTTGCTGTTTTGGCAACATTTCCGGGTAGTAAAATTTGGCTCACGTTTTAGACAAGTATTAGTCCCTTTTATTGCTCTCGGGGATGTATTGCCCCTCATTATTTTCATATCCCGTTTCTCTAGGAGGGCTGGCACAAGCCTCGGACGGGAGTAGCTTGGATTGGAATGTTTCCCTTCACCGACTTTAAACTCGTTTTATCTTTGTAGGTTTTGGAGGATGACACACAGCGCAGGTGCCTTTTTCCCTGGTGGCAGACTGGCGCGTGAAAAAGTATGACACAAGTCTGAGGTTTGTGTCTGCTTCGCCAAGGTCAAGAAATTATCTCCTTGGAAGGCAATAATACTATGCATGTTATGAATTGTGTCTCCTTGGCCAGTGATAAAGAAAATGGGACTATCGCCACAGCAGCTGGATTCATGATTGAGGAAACGCAGCCCCCGCCGCCGCCTCCTCCTCCACCCCCTCCGCCTCCACCATGTCCATATCCAGAGGAAGGGTTCGCTTCCTCTCTCCCCCCTCCCCCACCACATGCACTCCCCGGGGGGCCTCCGGTCCCTCCTCCCCCTCCGGAACTGCCCCCAGCATCTCACTGGAATGGCTACAGCCACCTGGGTAAGAAAAAGCGGATGAGGAGCTTTTTTTGGAAAACCATTCCGGAGGAGCAAGTCCGAGGCAAAACCAACATCTGGACCTTGGCAGCCAGGCAGCAGCATCAGTACCAGATCGACACGAAGACCATCGAGGAGCTCTTCGGGCAGCAGGAGGAGGCCGCCAAGCCTTCCCTCTCCAGGAGAGGAGGGTCTTTAAATTCGTCCTTCAAGGAAGCCAGAGAGGAGGTAGGAAAGGGGCGTTGTTTTGACATTTCCGGGTAGTAAAATTAGGCTCACGTTTTAGAAAAGTATTAGTCCCTTTTATTGCTCTGAATAACTTTTGAAAACTTACTAGAATCACTAAGGAATAACATAAGGCCCCGCGGGCGTGGCTCCGTGGTTGAGCATCGACCTATGAACCAGGAGGTCATGGTTCGATTCCTGGTCAGGGCACACGCCTGGGTGGTGGGCTCGATCCGCAGTGTGGGGTGAGCAGGAGGCAGCCAATCAATGGTTCTCTGTCATCTTTGACGTTTCTGTCTCCTTCTCTCTTCCTCTCTGAAGTTAACAAAAATATATAATTTTTTTAAGAAGGAAAGAACGTAAGGCCAGGGAATGTTGTGCTCTGGGAATGACAGGAAGGGCCTTCCTTACATGCTGAGCTCGAGCTGAGTAGTAAAGTGGAAGGAGCCTGCATGCCGGACCCTCCCAGGCATCTCGGTGGATTATGACCTCATGCCGAGAACATGCTCTGTGGGGCCATCATCCTTGGCTTCTCAGCGCTGCCCTGACTCTGCACATCTGCGGCTTCCCCTGGTGGAGCACTCCTGCTGGAGCCCAGGATTACTCCTCTACAGTGAGACAAACACAAAGCCCAAGTTCCTGAGCCCAGGCATCTTCGATCAGCTGGAGCTTTCTGAGACAACATGCCTTTTGTTAAATAGCATCATTAAGTAATGCACCTCCTGAGGGTTTTATCCTTAGTGTTTCCTCCCATTTTCCTCGCACAGTGTTCAGTGAAGGCCTTCACTCCTCCGGTCTCAATTGAATGATGGCCATTGTGGACCAGAGATTTCCAGAGAGCCAAAGCGTCAAGCTGTTTTCAGATAGACTTTCTAGGAGGCATACTTCCAGTTTACACTCGGTGTGTTAACTTTGAGAAGAAAATAAAGCTAGCAAGTTATAAGAAGTTCACTGGAAGCATGTGGCCTTCAGGGTACAGGCCACTATACATTACAGAAACTGAGTCCAGAGTAGTGTTTGTGCATACTCTCTGTAGAAACACGAATAAACATGTAAAAGCTTCTACTTTCAAGAGGATATAATTAGGAAACCAGGGATTAAAAGGAAAGAATGTTGCCCACCAAAAAAAAAAAAAAAAAAAAAGAAACAGAAATGCATCATTTTTTAATCTGCTGTAAGGGAGCTGAGAAAATAGGTCAGAGATGGAGGTGTGCGATAAGGGTAGGCAGGGCTCTGGAATAAAGTAGCAGCTCCCTGCATTATTGAATTCTCAAGCCGACAATATTGACCTCTTTTCTCTCTGGCTCAGGAGCATGTTAACTTCTGTCCACGAATTCCCTTGGGGGCCCTTGAGGCTGGTGGCATGGTGCCCTGTTGAAACGGCCAGGAGTCTATTTATTATAAAATGTGGAGAACGCTGGGATTTGAGTTTAATCCGTGACATACATTTGAGAGGCAGTCTTTGGGAAAACCCTGAGTGGGAAGCATGGGTTTCCCCCCGCTCTTTGCTCTATGCACAGTCCTTTCCCTTCGTAGCAGACCCTTTCAATCCTGGGAGAAGCAGGAAGTCATTCCTACGTACCCTGGCCTTCGCCCCCCTCTGCCAGCGGAGGTTCTGAATGTACAGCAGGTCATTTCTCACCACTGCTTCTGAGCTCCACTTACTGAATTTCAAGAATTTTAAAGGAAAGAGTGGGTGGGTGCATGTGGAGAAAAGGTGATGTCTCCGAAAAGCACCTTTGGAAACAGAAGGAGGTCTGGCTCAGCATGTTTCTGGGAAGGCGGCTGACCCTTGTAAATTGGGGACATTTATTTTGCCAATTGCTATGAGGTTCTTGCTGCTTTATGTTTGTGAATAGAAGAGAGGCAGGAAGTGTGGGGTCTTTTCCCAACTGTGGCAGAAGCAGAAATGTCCATTTCTAGGCCAGATCTAAAATTCAGGGCGGGGGCGAATCTTTCTCCTCACCCCCTTCACCTCTGTATCTGAGGTACATCTTTACTTTTTTTCCTTTAACTTAAAAAACAAACAAACCTGAAAGTGAATAATTATTTAGCTAGCTAGTTAGTTATGTTTATTTATATTTTATTGAATTTATTGGTTAATAAAATGATACAGGTTTCAGGTGTACAATTCTATAATACTCCATCTGTACATTGTATTGTGTGTTCGTTACCCTAAGTCAAGTCTCCTTCCATCACCATTTATCCTCCCTTTACCTTCTCCTATCTCTCCTCCCCCTTCCCTCTGGTAATCACCATACTATTGTCTATCTGTGAATAATCAACTTTTTAATTGTGGTAAAATATACATTGACCATCTTAACGATCTGCAGGTGTACAGCGCAGTGGCACTGGGACATCCACACAGTTGTGTAACCAATCTCACCATCCATCCACAGAAACCTCATCTTGCAAACTGAAACTCCCAGTCCCTGGCAACCACCCTTCTCCTTTCTCTATGAATTTGACTGCTGTGGGTACTTTATATAAGTGTAATTGCACAGTCTTCTTGTGACTGGATCATTTCACTTTGCATAATGTCCTCGAAGTTCCTCCACATGGTAGCATGTCAGCGTTGTAAGGCTGGATAATATTCCATTGTTTACCCAGTTATCCGTCCAGGGACACTGGGTTGCTTCCACCTTTTGGCTATTGTGTATAATGCTGTTATGAAATAGCTTTACTTTTAACACTTATGGGTCCTAATCTGAGAGACAACATTCTAGAAAGAAAAGTTAAATCACCATAAATGTGTAAGCAAACAGCCTAATTCTTCAGTTCTTCAGTACTCAGGTAGGGTGAGTAGTTTAGTAGATGGATGGATAAGTGCATATTGCATAATATGGTCACAGAACAGGGTTATCCAGAATTATTTTCAATTTTCCATGCTGTCTCAAACATGGCTAGGTATGTCTTATGTACCTTTTTTTTTCCCTCCAGTAAAAAACACAGGACATGTGATTTTCTTCCCTCATTAGATTTTCTTCTAAAGCAGCTACAACTCAACAGAGTGGTAGTCTAACCAGGACCAGGAATAAAATTTCCAGTTCACTCTGTAGTAGGTGAAGCCCAGGGTTGGCAGTCACAGTTCTCACTGTCTGTGTGGATTGGAGAGCACCCTCCACAGTATGTTGATCAAAACTGGGAGTCACAAAGAAACCACATAAGATAAATAAAGTCTGAGGATCTCATGTAAAACATGGTGACTATAGTTGAGAACATTGTATTGTAAAAACTGAAATTTGCTAAATGTTCTCACCAAACAAAGAGAAAAAGATAAATATGTGAGGTGGTGGGTGTGTTCATTTGCTAGGTTGGGGAATCCTACTAAAATCTCGAATTGGTAAAAGAGGAATGGCAAGGGAGAAAATAAGATGGAAGATTGGTATTTCAAATTCATGAGAAGTCATGTTTTAGTCTCCCACACTGTAACCAGGTTTTAGTCATTCTTTCTCGACTTTTGTTACGATCCCAGTATATTGTAGGATTCTGGGACATGCTCAGTCCAGAACTATATTGAAAGGGACCAAAAGCAAAGCTTCAACTGCGATTTCATTTCCCTCCCCCGAAAAGTTTGGGGGGAACATTTCCCACTTGACAGCCAACCAAAAATGAAAAAAAACACACATTAAAACCCAAAGCTAAGTACGTATCGGAGCATTCAGGAAGATTTTTAAATTTTCTTTTCAGAATTTCACATAGGGTTGAAATAACCAAAAATGACTTGAAATTTTCTTCTTCAGCCTGAAGACATTATAGTAAGTGAAATAAGCCA